GAACTCACAGAGATCCACCTTCCTCTGCCTCCTGAGTCCTGGGATTAAAGGTGTGCACCACTATGCCTGGCTTACAAATAAAAATTTTAAAAATTCAGCAATTCAATCAGTGGTATAGAAACTTCAGAGCAGCATTGCATAGGTACAAACTCGAACGTGGCACTTTCTCATGCTCCAGCATTACCTGGCGGCTACTTCCAATGCTGGTTTTGGGCTGCACCCACACAGATCCTGCCCATAGGTCTGGTGGAGGCCTGAGTATCTTCATTTTTAACAGCTGCCAGGTAATGTTGATTCTGTGTGTCTATAGAACCATACTCTGAATGGTCCTGTGATATGTGATCACTAATCCTTGGCCTTAGGATACAATGATTCCAGTCAAGAAAACCACATGGGGGAAAATAAGCAGGAAGGAAAAGCAACATGATCTGGGTTAAGATGGGCATTTTCCATGTGTAATAGGGCTGTGATGCATGTCATTTAATTCTGGTTTAGAAAGCTTTCATACATACCCCATTTCTATTAATGCAAGCCACAGTGGAATTGTTGCTGGTTGCACTCTGAAAAAACAAAAAAGCAGAGTAGTTACTCATAGTGCATTTGTATATTCTCACCCATTTCCAGTGAATGTGGGGCGGGGGGAGAGTTTTCATACCAGAGAACTTAAGAGGGGAGTCCGAGATGTGGACGGGCTGTTGAAGAAGCCTTGCTGTGGGATGAGGTACTCATCAGCATCAACCACGTCCTCCATGTCCTCTTCATCCATTAGGGCACGGTAAAAATTGGAGTCTGTAGGGCTTGGCAAATGCATTCTTTCATCCCCCTGGTGCAGAGATTTTTGAGGTCATTAGAAAGGGCCCTTCCCACATTATGGATGGGTACTTTGAGTAATAATGAAGCATATACAAAAAAATCTTGTATGTCTGAAAGCATACCCATTTAAGAGGGAGGAAAAAGAAAAGAAGCAGCAGGGTTTATTATTATCTACTATACAATGCTATGCAGTGTATTTTGTATATACTATTTTACTGAATATTTAAAACTACAAAATCAGATGAGCTCTATTTTGCTCTTTCCAAGTTAGGTGAAGAGATAGGCAGGTACAAGGTGGCACACGGGTGAGTGGAAAGCCAGGGACTAAAGCCAGGTGTGCTGACACCAAAGTCTTGCTTCTCTGTTTAATCAAGCCAGGGCACTAATGAGCCAAAATGTAATGTGAGGTGACATATGAATCTGAGGAAAAGGCTGTGGCCAGGTAGGGCAGCTCACATGAGATGGTGACTTGTACTTGGGTAGGTGGGACCTACCACCGATCCCCATGTAGTTCACAATCAGTCTATGCCTTAACTGAGGCAGTTCCAATGCATGAGGGGATTTGGTAACATGACTTAGGAATCACAGGCTGTGTTGGCACATACTGGAGCAGAGTGGCATTTGGTATTCATTGGTGGCATCATATCAATGGCAGTGCCAATTGTAGTCTGGTACCTGGATGACAAGGTAGCGCTGGGGGTCACGGGCCATTTTGGAGAATTCAACAATCAACTCACGGAACTTTGGGCGGCTGTCTGCATCTATCATCCAGCCTGGGAAATAAATGAGGAAAAAGAGCAATTAGAACCCAGGAGGGAATGATAAATGTGGCATTAGGAAATCATTTGTGATATGATCTTGTTAGAAAAATAAATGATGAAGACACCTAATTTTTGTGATATGCTTTTCAGTCTAGGCACATGAGCTAGCTCTGTCTAGTTTTTAAAGACCATGGTGAGATTTCTTTTTTTAGTGTTGGGAATTGAACCCATGGTTGTGTATGCTATGCAAGCACTCTACCAAGTAAGTTATATCCTCAGCCCTGTACAATTTTTTTATTATTTATTTTATTTTATGTGTAGGAGTGTATTGCCTGCATATGTATAAGTATACCTGTCTTGTGCAATACCCACGGAGGTCAGAAGAAGGCATCGGATCCCCTGGAACTGGAGTTACCAACAGTT